TCAAGACCGAGTTCTTTTAGGACAGACATTAGTCAGACTATCGGGAAATTTTTAGTTTGTTCTCAAATTCTTCCTTTTTCTTTTGTATAAGACTAAATTGTTTTTGGGCGGGGGGTGGGAGGGAAGTAGCTGAGGCATTTTAATTGGTCGTTCAAAATGAGCAATTGAGCGGTGCGTGGCCTAAAAGCAGCCCACTAAGGCAGTTTTATCATCATGTACTAACAACCATGGACTCATAGTCTCATGATTCTCATCTCTCACGTTAATGGCCCAACTCGTACGAATCCACCAAGCTCGTTCAGAATTTATAAACTCCACAAATTGTTAATTCTAAAATCGAGTTAACGAGGTTTCAGTCTAATAGTTAAAGAAAAAGTTTGAGACTCCAGGAAAATGTAGTACGTTAGAATCCGAGTACTAATAATGAATTCAGTATAACTTTTTTCTTTTTATTGTAAGTGGGAGGTCTTGAATTCAAGCCGACCTTACACTTAGGGTGCGCTTGATAAAACTAAAGTTTGAAAACTGAAATCTGAAAATTGAATCCATTAAATTATTGAATTGTTAATCAAATACATTGAGTGTATATCACATTTAATAATAAGTAAATAGTTTATCACTTATTTTGGAGGAAAGTTTTGTCTAGGAAATTCAGTGTCACTTAATTAATTCAAATGTTCAAATTTTGATTATCAAACGCATCCGAACATATTAAGATCTGAATCCCTTCAATTTAAATACTGAATTAGATTATCAAACAAAGCCTTACACTTTTCCTCCCCTTGAATTTAGTGTAACTAATATTGGCATTCATCCCACAATCGTGAGTTTAGTGTAATGTTATTGAATTGTATATTTGTATCGATCCTTCCATTTTGTGTTAATTGTGTGTTAATTGTTCAAGTCTTACTCTTGGCATGAGCAGAAAAGTGAAAATCCTGAATTCAATGCTATGAGGTTCCGAATTTGAAACCTCCCTTTTACACTTTAAAAAAAAAAAGGCATGAAGTTGGTCTCGGATTCACGTATTGTAAGCTTTACTTATTAAAATGAAAATTTTCGCCTGTTCTTATCATGTTTCATCTGCTAATTTACTAAATTATCTTCTGATTCTATTTGTCAGAGGCTATGGATTTTCCGATACAAACAAAACTTAGATAAACTGTTAAAAGGAATTATGAGATGTCATGGGATTCTCAACCACAGAATTCTTTATTTTAGCTGGATTCATATCAACTAATTCAGTTCCTCACAAACATAATGTTAAGATTCTCCTCTTATCTTGTGCAATAGAATTTCACAGGGAATCTAGCTGATTACTTTGAGCTAAAAAAAAAATGAATTTAAAACATCAAGAAAGGAAGTTCCAACAACCTTCAGTTAAAAAAAAAAAAAAAGGAAACAACGCTATACCTTAATAAATTGAACAAGCAACAGTATAGCTGAGTAGCAACTGATGAGGATAGAATCAACGAAAAGCCATAGATGATTGGTGATTGCTAATTAAATTTTAGCTCATGTTAAATTAGTATATACGACCCTTTCTTTTAATCCGGCAAGTAAAGACATGTTGGATTGTTCCTGTTTCAATTCAACCTCATAATGTGGAATCTTGATTCTAGTGTCTGCATAAGGGTTAGAACCAGACATGTGTCCATTGGAGAGTCGTTAGATTAGCAAGGAAAGAGAGTAGACAAGAAATTAAGTATAGAAAATGAGGACAGAACCTATGGGTACATGGAGCCTGGAGCTGCATTTGGTAGGTGAATGTAGTTGAAGATCTGACATGCTTCTGAAGATGCATGTTTCTGACGTTGTTGTTGTTTACGAGTAATTCATGAAGAAGTAGAAGAGGAAGGAGAATGAAGACCATATGATAATAACAGAAACAGAACTTTCCCTCCCTGCCTCTTGAAGGCTATGCTTGACTCCCAAGATTAGTTTGATTTTGATTTTGATTTCCAGACTACAGTCTAATGTTTATTTAAATTTGGGTAAACTATCTATGGAGCTCCTACATAATTGCAAGGGATAATTTCAGAAACCTCCTCTGAGATAATATCACTCAACTCCCCTGAAGTTTTTAAAATCTCATTTATCTCCCTTGAATTAACATTTATTGTAACATTTTAGCCCCTTTGGAGGAAATGCAAGAAAGATAAAAATTTTATTCCAGCACTACCCTTCTGTTATCTTACTTATAAAGTTTACAACAACAATAAAAAATAAAATAAAGTTAACTTTTTATAAGGTGTAAATTTCTTGACTTAAATTATTTATTTTAGTTGTTTTGGAACAAAACAAAATTTACGCCTTGAAGAATTCATACATATGAAGATATTATTTTAATTTTCAATACAACTTAAACTACATCATGTATTAAAATGTATTTCCTAAAAACATTGCTTGACTTTCTTAAAACTGTCTACGAAAGTTTTCAAGGTGTTAATTATTCACCAAATTCTTCCTAAGTGGTTGATTTTAACTAGATTTAATTATCCACATTCTTTGCTGTCTCACCATGATCTCGACATAGAGAAATATAGATCATTATTAGATAAAATTTTATTTTTTGTTTTAAAAATTTGATTTTGTTTTGACATTTTGGTTAAATAGTTATTAAAAGTAAGGGTAATATTGTCAATTTGTGACATTTGATAAGAATATTTAGTTTTGTCAAGCTGATAGGGGAGGTAAGTGAGATTTTAAAAACCTCAAGAGAGCTTAGTGATATTATGAGAAACCTCAAGGAAGATTTCTGAAATTATCCCTAATTTTAATTGTCAATTTTGACTCTTTATCTATTTCAAATCTTAAATTGACCCCTTAATAATACGATATGTTAGATTTTTATTCTTCCGTTTCTTTTCCACCATTCAAGGTGATAGATTTAATGGCCAGGCTCCAATGGTAGAAATGGACTAAATGATCAAAATATGACTTTTTTAAAATTATTATTGAGGGGTCAATTTCAGATTTAAAATAGATGAGGGGCAAAAAACTATCTGTTGAAATAATTTAGGCATTCCCTAGATAGTTTACCCCTTTAAATTTAAAAGAAAATCTCTATATCCAAAAAGAAAGAAAAGGATTTCAGGGTGAAAGCAAGAATTGTGTAAGTGATAATTGGTTATTATCTTATAAATAAAAGATGGATTTCTCCAAGGTGTGCCTGGACTCTTTAGGCGACTATATACATATATATATATATATATATATATATATGTATATAGTGCTAACCGGGCAGTCATCCGAAAAACTCGTAAAGACGTCAATTTAAAGAGCTTTCTAAAGTAGCTTTCAACCCATTTGGGAAGAAAAGAAAAGAGTAATAAGTTCTTAATTTTATGATGGTAGGAGTAGTAGAAAATTATTGCGGGATGCAAAACACAACTTGCCCAAAAGTTGTGTACAACCAACGACAAATGCAAATAGGAACCTGCCCAAAAGTTTCAGAATTTACTGTAGTAGCCTCTCAAGAGTCAAGACATTACTATGTACCTCAAAATGGATCTTTATGAATACAATTCTGTTCCCACAAGATATAACTAAACAAAGAGATTGTAAATAAGAAGGAATGCGAGAAGATAACCGTTTCTGATGCAACAGGAAAAAGAGTTCCAAAATTTTCAAATAATATTTTGTTTACATCGTAAATACATTTTCCGACTCACATTTTCTATTTTCAACTATCTTTTTATCTCGCATACATCACATCACAAAAAGTAATATAGTAATTATTTCAAATAATACTCTATATTTGGATTGAGCTCCTCTATGTTTGGATTGGCTTTTTTTTTTCAGAAAATTTTTACGTTTTTCATGAACATATTTTTTAATTATATTTTTACCTCACATAAATGAAATCACTCTAATACTTTTTATTTTTTAATAAAAACTTCAAAAAATAGCAATCCAAATGGGTTAAAAAAATTAAAGCCTCATCAAAGATGTGAAGGCTAAAACAAAGAGTAAAAGCCTATGGAACCCTTGAACTATCATTATTGTTCACTTTTGATCCTTGATCTATTCTTGTCTCCGATTGGATCTTGAACAATTAAAAGTGCATAGTTTAAGAAATTCTAATCATTTTAAACATAAGTTCAACCAGAATCAAAGGGCACTTTTTTCCAATCTTAATCAAAAGTATGAGAGCTTAATAAAAAGTGTCGAGAATAGGAGTATAAGTCTTGAAAAGAGAAAATCCTTCATTTTTCTTAGATTCTTCATTATATTTCTCTGCAAAATTCCTAAATTCATTGATTTCAAATCTGAGTAGCGAAAGTTTTATCAGATTTTTTATGCACCTCTCAAGTATGAAATCAATGAATTTAGGAATTTTGTAGAGAAATTTGATGAAGAGTTTAAGAAAAATGAAGGTTTCTATTTACAACTTCTACTCCTACCCTAGATGCTTTTGATTAAGTTCTCGATACTCTTGATTAATATTGGACAAAGAGGCCCTTCAATTCTGGCTAGACTTATGCCTAAAATGGCCAAAAATCCTTAAACTATGCATTTTTAATTGTTCAGAAGCTAGCTGGAAACAAAAAAATAGATCAGGAACCAAAAATAAACAATGATGATAGTTTAAGGGTTTCCCTAGATTTGTTACTCCTAAACAAAAAAAGGGCACAAGGGCCACAAGACCTAGGAAACAAAGAACAAAACATACACAAAAAGTCATAAAGGGCATGAAACATTACATGGTTTATTTCCTACATTACTTATAAACTTTGTCACGTTGATCGTTTGGATTGCTATTTTTAGGAGTTTCTGTTAAAAAAAAAGTACGATAATAACTTGACATATGTGAAATAAGAAGTGATTGAAAAATGTGTTCAAGGAAACATAAAAATTTTTTGATGGAAAACTACAATCCATTAATTCAAAAAATGATTAGAAAAAGTATACTAAAAATGTTTTATAATACTAAAAAAAAGATAGAAATAGCTTTAGGAACCAAATATATGGGGAATGATGAGAAAAAGGAGCAAGAAAGGGACGTGAGTCCTCTCCCACTCCACTACCCACTCCACAGCCGACTTCTAAATTGCGGAAGAATTTGGGAAATTCACTTTTCTAGTGCAACTGCATGCTACGAGTGATATAGTACCTACCAAGAAGGTTCAATTTCCTTCCCCTGTCTAAAAAGGGGGGGAAAAAGAAGAAGAAGAAGTAGAAGAAACGCCCATCACGAAGTCCCTCTTGTCGATTTCTTGTGTAGCAATTTTTTGTTGCTGCTGCCAATCTATTTGATTAATTCAATGTATGAAAGCCGACAAATTGAATAAAGAAAAGGGTGATGTGGGCTTTAGTGCTGTCAGATATATAACCAGAAACGAAGCATAGATATACATATATAAAAGCACATTTTTCTTGACTTCAATTGCTATTACTACTGGTATATATTCACTCTATCAAGAAATGTCCAGATTGTCTTCGGTATCACTTGTCTTTTAATAACACCCCATCTTTACTTTTTGATTTGCTTCTTTTTCCTTTGTATCATAAAATACTGTTACTATACAGAGGTAATACAACAGATAAGCAATAGTATAGAATTTTACAAGTAAATTTGCCGTGACAGACAATACAAGTTTTAATATGGAGGAGAGCAATAACAGAAGCCAATTCAAGAGAATCTGTGTGTATTGCGGGAGCAATCCAGGCCACAGGAAAGTATTCAGTGATGCTGCTGTTGAATTGGGGAATGAACTGGTTGGTTGGTCTTACTTATATAGGATATCCTAGTCAAACAACCAATCTAGTCTTTTGTGTTGATTGACAGTTTTGTTTAAGGTTATGTTTGTTTTGTCAAAGGTTGAGTCTTTGTTTTGTGAAAACTGTGACAATTTCTGAATTGGGTTTTGATGTTTTTGACAAAGTCTCAATCCTAGCTGATAAAAGGGACTCTTGGGTTTTGACTTTTAACAAGAGAGTTAGAGAATCTTACACATTTTAGTACTAATGGAGTTCTGATATAGTCGGTGGTTCCTTTATTTAGTAAACTGGTTTCCTGCATTTGACAATAGGATTAAGGTTTAGGCTGGATTGATTTTTCTAAGGATCTTTATACTTTATTTAGACTCTGTTAGCAGTACTTCTCGTTGGATTGTTTCTTGTGCTTGGTTTGACTATATTTTGGGCCGAATGTTTGCCGTGTCTTGCTAATTTGACTTTGTAAATGGATGTTCATTTCAGGTGAGAAGAAAGATAGACTTGGTATATGGGGGCGGAAGTGTTGGATTGATGGGATTGATTTCCCAGAGAGTTTATGATGGAGGTTGCCATGTTCTTGGGTATGCAATACAATTTGGTTTGAATTGCATTATGTACTACTGTTTATTGGTATTATGCCTGGGGCTTTGTTTGTTCTACTGATGTGGTTTCACTATAATCTTGATTGCTCTTAACAAGCAGGGTGATTCCAAAAGCTCTCGTGCCTATTGAGGTACCTGCATTCACTCTGCAATATCATGCTTTTTCTCCTTCTCTTTCTGTTTTTTAATTGAGACAAACTTTTTCCCTTGCACTTGTTGCAATATTTTAAAGTGCTCAAGTATTCAGAGATCATATCAACATTTGTTAGTTACTCGTTTGATTATGTAAGTTACGCAATAAAATCTTAGCTGTTTCAAAGGTCATTGAAAGGGGAATGTGGTTCAGAATACATGGAATTCTTACTAGTCTCTTGCTGGTGGAACTGATTTTGAGACCTAGATGTAAACTTACAGTTGAAATTGGTTATTATTAACACAAGAAGCTAAACAGATATCTGGTGAAACTGTTGGGGATGTGAGAATCGCCTCCAACATGCATGAGCGCAAAGCTGAAATGGCTAGACATGCTGATGCATTTATTGCTCTTCCTGGTGAGTATGAAAGAAAGAGAACTGATAGGAAAATTTGTTGCTTAAAACAAACTTATGAAGTCTATTTATTTTGTTTTAGGGGGATATGGAACTATGGAAGAAACACTGGAAATGATAACATGGTCACAACTTGGCATCCATAAAAAGCCGGTCGCTCATCTGCTTTCACCTGTGAGTTCTAATGATATAAAGTGTTAGATTTCCGTATGATGACTAGTTGATTATTCTTACAGGTAGGTTTAATTAATGTGGATGGCTATTATAATTCCTTGCTGGCATTGTTTGACAATGGAGTTGAAGAAGGCTTCATCAAGCCAGGTGCTCGGCACATAGTCCTCGCTGCTCCTACAGCAGAAGAACTTCTAGACAAAATGGAGGTACTCGCCAGCCATCCTCTGTGTGTGTGTGTTTTCCAAAGTTTTATTGCCTATTTTTCCTTCATGAGCTCGGATGAATTTACTTTGAAGATCAATGCCATGCACAGATGGCAAGATCAAGTTTCTATTTGCTTCACATGCTGATTAAGATTCTTGGCTTACAACTATAACTATCAGATCATAAGTTACCTCTGAAAATAATTTTTGGATTTTGATTTACGTGATTAGTATACCATTTTTTTTTTAAAGTTACATGATTGGTATACTTGTTTTATAAGAATGCAATCAAAGCCTTACAGCGTACTGTCTGAGGGTTGTTTTAGCTTTACTTTGACTTGGGGTTCTTTAAGGTCATGAAAAAGTCAAGTATGAGCCAGCCACAACTTGTGCCATTTTTTTTCCTTTTAATGCATTAGCTGTGTAGAGCTGTCGAGGATGGTTGCTGATCTACATAGAAGTGGAACCATTATACTTGGAATCTTATAAATCGCTGTTTAATTTTGCAGCAATACACCCCTTCTCATGATCATGTTGCCCCTCATGAAAGCTGGCAGCTGGAGAAACTGGGTGACTATCCAAGTGAGCAGAGTCCCCAATGAAATCCCTGTTTGTGGTAGGCCTATGTCAAAAATAGATTCCTGATGTGATTTGACCATCATTTGAGTTTTGTATGAGATTCTGGTTCTTTGGGGCCACATATAACTATAATTACTAGGTGCCCCTTTCATTTTTTGTGGTTTACATTTAATTAGAGTCGGCATTCCTGATTTGCACAGCCAATTCTGGATTGCAATGTTAGAATGCTCAATCAGTAAACTGTTCAGTAGTGATGTTGGCTGTTAGCCTTTGCGATGCACATTTGATGGAAGAGCTATACAACTGTTTAAAAACAGAATGTTACAGTGGCATTTTTTTCTTTTCTTGAAAAAGGGGTGGGGGTGGTGGTGGTGGTGGTCCTACTTAGCATTTAGTAGTAAATCTGGCATACCACATTTAGTGATGCAAATTGCAAATCCTGGCTTTAGAAGGTTCTCTTGGAGAGCCCCATTTCCTTTACCACTAAAAAAACTTTGTTCCTCTCAACTAGAAAGTTGCAAATTCTGCCAGATCAACTTGTGGGGTCTATGCTGACTTCCTCCATACTAGAAAAACCTACTAATCTTTATTCCTAAGCTGTCTTTTGAACATTGCAGATAACTATTTCTAGAATTGAAGTAATCAAAATTGAAAACATACCTTCTTGTCATCTTTTGACGAGTTTTCTTGTTATCTTTTGAGGGCTGTGTGCAAAGTGATACAGAAGATGCATTGCCCTTTTTCGCCTCCAAATTTAAAAATGTTCATTCAATATAATGGGTTTTGACTTTACAACAGAAGGGAAATTCTGTACTACATTAATAAGTCTTTTGGTGGGGGAGTGGATAGGGTGTTCATGCACCTTTGATTAGTTAAACTCACGACTGAGAGAAGACGTTTCACTGGTGCAATTACTGACAATGACAACGTTATCAATCAACCAACTGGCTGAGCTTGACATGATGCACAGAACGCGTTAAAGAAAGCTTGGCTTGTGTCTTGAGTGTCTTGAGGGATGTCGTTTTGGAAGTTGAAAGGTTCCCATGATGACGATTTGAGAGAAAGTACGGTACCGTGTTTAATTTCAAATCTCTTGTAGTATCCATTAACACGCATTGTGCCTCGTGTCTTTCTATATTCTAAACAAGTGTAGACACAAAGGAAAAGCCAGTTACCTGCCCTGCATCTATATATCGTCATCATTCATCAAGTTCAGACTGGATTTCTTGTTTAGATTGCATGTTGGCAGCATCATCTCTCTGTTGAACTTCATGATGCGGAAATTCACTACTGTCTTGTTCGTTTTGCTCTTTCTTGGGAGAAGATAGGGCCAAAACTTGTGCTCATTGATCTCCACAACTGAATCTTGATTTTCTGATGTGTTTTGTAGTGTCCGTACCAAATTTGGACTGTCATCTACTCTTCCCCCCCCCCCAGCTGGTAGATAATTTTATTAGATTTATGTATGAACTATACACTTAGTGAGCAAAAACTTAATTAGATCTATACAAGTGTTTAAAGACACTGAGAATTTAACCACTTTACATCAAAAGATGTGCTTAACGCATGATTACAAATATTATTTGTCTTAATACTATTCTCATTTAGGCCTGTCAATCAGGCCTAATGAGCCGGGCTTCGGGTTATGAGTTTCGGGTTCGTAAATGTGAAGCTCATACTCAGCTCACATAATATTCGGGTTGTGAGCCTTAATCGGGCTTAACCCAAACTCACTTATTACTCCTTAATTTTCTTAATATAATTACTATAACTATTAAGTTGTAAAACTAATTTAACATTTACAAGACTATAATATTAAAACTAAACATGAACAAATAATAGTTCTTAAAACGTATATAAACCAAAAAATTTTCAACAATATTTATATTTAATCCATTCAAAATGCATGAAAAATAGTAATAAAACATGCGATCATAAGCCAATACATCTTTAAAAGTTGAAACTTTTTTTATAATCTTGTGATTTAAATCAAAATATGCTTGATGATTTTTGTGTTTGTAGACCAAAAAAAAATCAACAAATATTATGCCAATACAAAAATTTACTCAACCAATAAGAAAAATTAGAGATTTAGTTATGCATTACCAATATTGGCTCTCAAGAAAGCTCATGAAAGAGTTTTTAGATGTATTTTTGTGTTTTGTAATTTATGTATATATTTATTATTTAGTAATAATATATTTGGATATATAATTATACATAATATCAAAATATAAATATTATATATATAGGTAATTAAAGGGCCGGGCCTATATCGGGTTTGAACCTAATAAGGCCCAAACTCGGCTCACATTTAATTCGGGTCTAATTTTTAGGCTCAGACTCAGACCGGCTCACTAAATGATCGGGCTCATCGGGCTTTCTGTCGGGCCGAGCGAGCCGAGCTCGGGCTGGCCCAGCCCCATTGACAGTCCTATTCTCATTCCTAGCCAAAACAAATGAGCGTTCCACAAACATAGAGTTTAAATCTTTAATGTCCTTTAAATGAGAGAACAGTCTAATATCACCGGTCTTGGTTTCTATCATCTTCACCAGCTACAGTTGTGGGATTCCCACTTCAATCCTCCTCCATTGTTGTTCTCCTGCCTTGATCATTGCAAGTTTGAGAGCCACTACATTGTCCATCATACTGTTCCCTACACTAAATTCCCTTATTGCCCATTGAGCTATCAGTTGGTTGTTCTCATTCAATGCATAGATGCCAAGTCCCATTTGACTGTCTTGTCCTTGAGTTTTTACAGCAAAACTAATGTGTATTAGGGCATCTATGTCTCTGCTTTCTTTTTGTGTTGCTTTAGTCGCTATTGTTTCTGGCATGCTTACCTTGCTCTCATTTGCATTTGTATCTTGAAATTCTATCCTCTCCAACTAAGCTTTCTGAATTTTCTTGATTGATGATCTTCTGTTCTAATAAAAATTTTCTCATTCCTGGCATTCCAAATCTACCAAAGAATATTTACCGTTAGTGCAATATGTTCCATTCCTTCAAGTCTATTACTAGTTTCTGTTAAAGCATTTCACCATCTTTTGAAGTTTCTTTTTTGGTCTTCAATTGTATCCCATTTCACTGGTAATAGGTTCCATGCTTCCTTAGCATGTCTGCAGTGAAAAAGTAGGTGTTCCATAGTTTCTATGCCTTCACAATAGTTTTCACATATTGGAGATCCCTTCTTTGTCCTATTGAAAACAACTTCATTCATAGGCAGGGCTTTCTTCAAGCATTTCCAAATAAATATCTTCAAGTTGTGATTTACATTGAGTTTCCACAAGTGTTTCCAAAGGTGTTTCTTCTCCAAACTGGACTCTTCTCTTGACTGTTCTTTTTGCTTCTAATTGTCTTCCTGCTTACTGAGTTTCTTGTATCCTGATGCAACCATGTGGCCATTCACACTATGTATCTAGAAATGACAATCCTTTCTGTTTGCCAGACCTCTGGGTATTCTCAAGACTTTCTTTGCCTTTTCTTCGTTTAATAATCTGAACACTGAGGGTCTTTTCTATCTGAAGTTTTGGATTAGGTCCTTCGCTTTCCGTATTTGGCAATTTTGAGATCTAATTGAAACAGGCTTCCCTTAAAGATTTTCTGGTATCCAATTGTCCTCTCAAATTTTTGTGCTTCTCCCATTTCCTATTTTCCTCTTAGTGTCTCTCTGAACATCTTCTCTTATAGCCATTAGATTTTGCTAGATCCATGATGCATTGTTATGGACCTTACAGTTGAAGATGGTCTCTGTTGGGTAGTATTTTGTTTTCATCACTTTAATTACCAAGGAGTTTGGCATTGTTATTAGCCTCCAAATTTGCTTACCTAGCAAAACCTTGTTAAAATTGTGCAAGTCTCTGAAGTCTAAGCCACCATTTTTTGTTGCCAAGAGCACCAATACATTTTCCTTTTTCCATTTTCCTCTCCCGACTAGTAATTAGACATCATTTTGCTCATTTCTTTGCATAGTCTAACCGATAGTTTGAAGCATGACATTGCATATATGGGCATTACCATAGTTATTGCTTTGAGGAGAACTTCTTTACCAGCAATCCTGAACAGCTTATTTTTTCAATGTTGCATCTTTTTTTCACAGCTTTCCTCGATAAAGTTAAACACTAGCTTTTTGGATCTAGATATTGTTACAGGTAATCCTAGGTATCTTCCTTGAGCTACTACTTGTATATTGCTAAACTTACTGCACACCTCCACTTGATGTGATTGAGGAATATTCTTATTGAAGTAGATCGAAGATTTCTCTAGATTAACCACTTGTCCTGAGCCTCGCTTTTACTTTCTCAAGATCTCCATAAGCTCTTCTGCTTCCTTGGGATCTGCTTTGTAGAAGATAAAGAAGTCATCTACAAAATATTGATGAGTAATTGCTAGTTCTTACCTGCAAATCTTCATCCCTGTGATCTTCCTCTTCCTTTTTGCTTTCTTGAGCAAGTTGGTAAAGCCTTCAGAGCATACTAAGAACAGATAAGGAGATACTATAGGTAATCCAAGGTATCTTCCCTAAGCCACTACTTGTATCTTGCTAACTTACTGCACACTTCCACTTGATGTGATTGAGGAATATTCTTATTGAAGAAGATCGAAGATTTCTCTAGATTAACCATTTGTTCTAAGCCTCGCTTATAGTTTCTCAAGATCTCCATAAGCTTTTCTACTTCCTTGGGATCTGCTTTGTTCAAGATAAAGAAGTCATCTACAAAATATTGATGAATAATTGCAAGTCCTTACCTGCAAATCTTCATCCTATGATTTTCCTCTTCTTTTTTGCTTTCTTGAGCAAGTTGGTAAAGCCTTCAGAACATAGTAAGAACAGATAAGGAAATAAACAATCTCCTTGTCTGATTCTTCTCATTGAGGTTATATAGCCTTTTATCTCACCATTAACATTGAAAGAGTAGGTGACTATTTTGATGCAGTTCATAATCTAGTTGATCCACTTTTCACATGAACCCATTCATTTCATTATTTCCTCTCGAAACTTCTACTCTATCCTGTCATAAGTTTTAGACATATCCAATTTCAAAGCGAAAAATTCATTTCTTCTTTGCTTTTTGTTTTTAAGTAGTGCAGAAATTCATGAGATATAATGACATTATTTAAGATCTGCATACCAGGGACAAATGCTACTTGATTTCTATTAATGCACATATCCACACTTTCTTTAGTGTATTTGCAAGGATTTTAGATATTATTTTGTACAAGACTTTGCAAAAACTTATAGGTCTATAATGCTTTAGGGTGGTGGGGTTATTTACTTTAGGAATTAGTGAGATCGCAATGTGATTTAAGGACTGAGCATGTGACTAGAAT